TAATGTTATCTAGCATATGTGCCACTTCCCGCAAAACTTTAGAGTTCTTATCTCCAGTTATTAGCATCATACTGGGCTTTGCATTTTTGTCTTGCTCCCCCACAGGATTTAGTTTTAAACTCTCCTTATTAGGTCTGCAAGGCTGTTTCCAAATACATTTTTTCCTTCCCTCATGAGGTGCAAACCATTTCCTGGTAGAAGAGCTTCATCTCGAAAGCATAAGCTTTTCCTGATGACACCATCTACATAGCCAGTCACTGATTTGCAGTATTCTTCTTTCCCTTCCTAAGCCACGGTGTTCGACAGGAAGAACTGACAAGAATACAACCTGTGTTCCCATTTCCTTCACCTTTTTACTCAGAGCCACATAGTCTCTTTTAATACGTTCTGGGCTGTGCTGGGTGGTATCATTTGTTCCCACATGGATGAGCAAGAAGGGATAATGATCTGTGGGCTTGATGAGTCTCCCTACCCTTTCCGTCACATCCTGGATGCGTGCACCCGGTAGACAGCATACCTCTCGAGACGACAAGTCCTGTTGGCACACTTTAGCCTCTACCCCTCTCAGTAGGGAATCCCCAATTACCAACACACACCTTCTCCTATATTGGGGAGCAGAGACTTGAGTCCTTGCATCCACAGGGGTCTGAGACATTTCCTTCAAGCTTTGTGGAGGCTGGGGGAGGAGCCCTTGTCCCAGTACTTCAAAATCAATATCTGTGGGGAGATCCAGGAACTGATTGCTTAGTGACAGAGGCTCAGAATGCCTCTTGATCTTCCTGCTCCTGTGGGTGACATTCTTCCATGTGCCCTCCTCCTGTGTGGGGTGCTCCTCCAGTTGCTGAGATACCTCTCCCTTCTCCTCCCGTTGCCCTCTCAGGAGTGCTTCGTGCATTCTGTCTATGAACTCTTCACCTTCCCTTGTAAACTGGAGTGTGGACAAGTGTGCCTCAAGTCCCTGTATCTTCTCCCCCAGTAGGGCTACCAACTTACATTTGCTGCAGATATAATTGCTGTTACCCTCAGGTAAGAATATGAACGTGCCACAGACTTTGCACGTCACTGCCTCAGCCCCCTCACCAGCCATGCTGCGGCAATCCATTTCGAAATGTCTGCTTCTTGCTTCTGGAAGGCCAAGGCCTCCCCAACAACTCTCACTTTGCCTGCCCGCTCAGCGTTTTACTAAGTGTACCGAGAAGACAAAGACGTCTTTCCCCATGTCAAATAATCTAGCCTTATAAAGAGCTCTGGAGAACTCAAAAGTTCAGATACTGTTTTGTGTCATTGTTGGTTGGTCTTAATACAAGTTATTTTGTGGCTTTTGGTATTGATTACTATCCCTCTGAAAAACAGTAGAAACATAACAACAACAATACTTTAGAATATTCAAAGCATTTCCTGTAGGCACATGGTTCTAACCATGGACCACTGCTTTTTAACAGCTGAACTCAGGCCATTTAAAATTGCGGTTAGAGGGCCCGATCCTGATTGGGCCTGCAGGATCAGGGGCTGTTATTCCCCCCCCCCCCATGCCCTTTCAAGTGCAGGAGCCATAGGGTTGCCAGGTCCCCCCCCCCGACCACCAGCGAGGGTTGCCAGATCCAAATTGGGAAACTCCTGGAGATTTGGGGAAGGAGCTTGGGGAGGACGGGGGACCCCCTAAGTGGGGTGCAATCCCATAGAATATCCATCCTCCAGAACTTCCGTTGTCTGGAGATGAGCTGTCATTCCAGGGGAGACTGCAATCTGTATCACTGTTTCTGACCTGCACTAGCTTACAAATACTATGGTCACTGAAATTAAAAGAACAACTGGGTGCCTTGGAAATATTCAAAACAAGCTGTTTCCTAAAAACAACATCAGCTCCACTTCTGATTTTAAAAGCGGAAAGAACACAGCGTTTGCTCCCTAAAAAGAACAGCAATAATTAGTCAGATTTGGTTTTCTCTGCTTAAAATTGCATGCAGGCACTTTCTGTTTGTTTGTTCTTTGTAAATGAACATTTTATTAATTTAAAGTCTTGTTTGGAAAAAAAAATCAAGCATCTTGGGCAGCGATCCTTTAAGCAGCAAGAATGTGTGTGCCTCCCAAAAAGGTTCTGCCTTTTTGCATTGTATTGTTAGATATGGAAACGAGTAAAATGTTTGGTTTGGATTTTGACTCCCACATACTGGACTCCAGGCTCCAGCCCAACCAAGCGGAGAGGAGCTGTAAACTTTGTTCTGCATGTAATGCAGGGGCTCCAATGAACACCTGAATGGCTCCAAAGGGAGCCTGTGACACTCTGCTCTTAGAGGGACGGCCTGCAGGACTGAGGGCTCCCCCCTCCCCCCCCAGTGCATCAAGGCGGAGGACTGCAGCCAAGGCGTTTGGACATGGAAGTCCCCCTCGTCCCACAAGGGAGGGTATTAAGCAGCCCTTTCCAGGCAGTTTGAAGTGGCATTGACCGGGGTAATCTTTGCTACACAGTTCTGCAAACCAGAAACAGTGCCTGTGGACAGAAATTGTGGCATGGTAGACACCAAGAATCTTCACAGATGTCTGTTAATTTCTTTTCCTAATTGGGAATATGGTCTGTGTTACATGTAAAGGAGCAGCCCCCACCCCCAATGATCCATATTTTCTACCTGAACAGCCCCCCCCCCTTTTGAACCTGCAGGTACCTTTACAATTCTGACACTGTGGTGGACAGAAGCCATGATGTGGCTGCTACAAAATGGCTGCAGCGGGAGGCTGAGCCAGCCACAAAATGGCTCCTGCCACAGCTTCCCTTCAGTCGCAGAGTAGCTACTGTCAAAGCAATGCTTTTAAAAATCTGCACAGCCCATCAAGACTCCAGTGCCCATCAGAATGTGCAGGGCCAAAGCCCCACCAGGAAAGGTGTTGGCTAGGAAGGAGGACTATGTCTCTGCTGGTAGACGTGTGTAAGCCTTTTCCTGTAAACTGACATAATCTTGAAAATGCACATACTGTCCTAGGACTCAGTGAAAGGTTCCGAGGCACCCAGAGCCATGGTGTTTTTGAAACTAAGCTGGGATTTCATCACAAAAGCTGTCTTGAGCTTTCCAGTGAAAAGTGGGATATTTAAGTCTAAAGCAAGGAATACAAACGGTAGCTTTACCTGCTACATGTCCTGCTTAGGTGGAACGCTGCTAAAAATACATGATGCAGGTTTGTTTGACATCAACACCTCCAAAACCTCCTAAGTACATCTAAATGAAATGGCCACAGAGGAGGTGGTTTGAGCGGGATTTCCCACGGTTCATTGCAGTGACCTATGAAGTGCTAGACATAGAAATATTTCCATTTGGCAGTCATTAGAAACGCGTTCTTTTTTTGAAACAGAAGCCTTCCAGGCAGGACTTCTTGAAGTGGCCGAGTCCCCCCAACATCTCATGCAAAGGCCCCTTTCTCAGCACTGGCTTTAGGAGGCCTTTTTAATAAGAGAAGTCAGGGATCGAAAGGGATACCGTCTATAACATAAAGTATGTTCTCTACCACAGAACTTGGAGGGGCAGAGACAACCACCAGAAGGCGATTCTCCCCTCAGGGAGAACAGCCGCCCTAGTTCTGGCCCTTTGGAGTCCATGGAACTGGCCCAGGGAAGGCTCTGGAGGCCTCCCGGCTCCCCCTCAAAAAGAACCACCGTCCTGTGCGCTCTAGACACAGGGCTGCCGTGTCCCCACTCCCAGCAGACTTTCTCGCCACTGCTCAGCTGGGCCACAGGAGAAAAATGGAGGGGTGATCACCAGCGCCCCAGTGTACTGGCCTCACTCCCAACACGACCGGAGGGGACATCGCCCTGCAGACCTCTGGCATAGTCAGTCCAGACTGCATACGGCTGAATGCTAGGGTGGCACCGGCAATGTGAGGGCATCCCTTCTGGTCCTGCCCTACGAGTGAGGTCGGCACATCCCTGGAAGCACAACCACCCTGAACACTCTGGACCTCAGGGAAGGGCCTGAGGGCCCTCAGATCCACCAGTGCCACCTGAGAGCCACATGCAAGCTGCTCTGAGCTCCTTGGAGGACTTCAGGCACGACACACCGTAACAACCGGCATATCCCGCCCCCCCTGCCCCCCAAAGATGTGCCTGCTGCCCAAAGGCCCTGAGGCCCTGGAGCCAGGGCTGCACCTGCTTTCAAGAAGAAGCTTCCCAAGCGGCCGGCCATTTGTCTCCTCCCCAAAGTGGCTGCCCAGGGTGTGTAGCCATTTGCCACACGGTCTACCCAGCCCCCCCCCGGAAGCTGATCCCAGTGCGGCATCCTGACCCAGCCGGGCCACAGGGGCTCTCTCTCTGCCCAAGGAGGGCGTGGCGTGGTGGGCGAGAGAGGGGAAGCGGCGAGGAGGAGCAGTGACACACTCTGTGGATGTCGTCCCAGGGGAGCGGCATGAGGGCCAGGAGGGCTGCCCGCTGTAGGTTGGGGGATTATGGGATCCTTGGGGAACAGTGGAGACTGAGGAGGGTGGGGTTTTTTGGGGGGAGGGACCTCAGGTGGGGGTCATGCCAGGCAGCCCCCGCCCTCCGAAGCCGCCCTTTTCTCCAGGGGAGCGGATCTCTGTAGTCTGGAGACCAGCGGCAATTCCAGGAGATCTCCAGGCATCACCAGGAAGTTGGCAAGCCTAGTGAGTGCTCCAGGCAGGGCTGTCTGTTTGCTGCAGCTCTGCAGAAGCAGAGGACTCTTATCGGAAGTTGCATGGACTCGGCTTCATAAGGACCCCATCTTACGCAAAGTAAGAGAAACCATAAACATCTGTTTCACTCGTGTAATTAGACAGGTTGCAGAACGGGACTTTTCTTGTTGCAGAACTGACAGAATGACAGAATTCATTATCCTTTTGCAGAATTTAGAGGATTGCAGAATTCGTGGTACAGAGTCAAGAGTTCTAGATAGTAGCTCTTTCTGGATAGATACAGATCCCACAGGGATGTAACTTTTGACACAAGGCAGACAGTTTTCATTGTTTATTGCTTTCTCTTTGGTTGTCTGAATAACCAGGATAGAGCTACGGGCCCTGGGAAAGATCTCCCCCGGGGAAGAACTGACAGTGTCCTACGTCGACTTCCTCAATGTCGGTGAAGACAGAAGGCAGCAGCTAAAGAAGCAGTACTACTTTGACTGCACCTGCCAGCACTGCCAGAAAGGAATCAAAGATGACCTGATGTTGGCTGTGAAGGAGGGAGGGGAGAAGGTGAGTTCAAGAGCCCAGGTCTGAAGGCAAACCTCAGCCCTCCCGCTTTCAACTGAGAACAGACAAGTAGGCGAGTCTATGCAGAGAGGCCTCTGAGCATGTGGCTGCGCGTCAAAGCCCCCGAGAGGCACCTGAGGAAGGCAGCCGCGGCTCTCGGAAGTTCACGCCCACCCACCCCAAATCCCCCTGGCCTCCCAGGTGCTGCCGGACTCAAACCTGGCTCTTGAGAACATAAGAGGAGAAGCCAACGCGGGATCAGGCTCGTGGCCCCTCCAGCCCAACACTCCTCTGGGTCACACAGTGGCCAGAAATACCAGGTGCCACCAGGAGGGCCACCAGCGGGGTCAGAAGCCCTCCCACTGTTGAGCCCCCCAAGCACCAAGAAGACAGGGCATACCTGCCCCAGACAGAGTGTTCCCCCTATCCCTTGTGGCTCATAGGGGCCACCGATGGACCTCTGCTCCATATGTCTATCCAGTCCCCTCTAGAAGCTGTCCATGCTTGTAGCTGCCACCGCTCCCTGGGGCAGTGAATTCCACGTGTTAATGACTGTTTGGGTGAAGAAGGACTTCCTTCTGTTCTGAGCTTACTGCACAGCCATTTCATGGAGTGGCCACGAGTTCTTGTATTGTGAGAAAGGAAGAAAAGCACTTTCCCCCTCAGCCTTCTCTGTCCCATGCATAATTGACTTCAGCGGTTTTCGAAGGGCATAACTCTGTTTAGGGATGCACCAGGAGAGTCACGGCTCATTTTGGGCAAAGGTTAAATTCTGCATCCTGCAGACCAACAAGGCTGCCCTCTGGAACGGCCCAGAGGTCTGGAGCCCCTGCGCTACACCTTCAGGCATCTTTCCCCACGGAGATGCACCTGCTGAGCCTTGCAGGGCATTAGGGGCATGTTCTACAGGGCACAGCCAATTCCCATAGAGGGTCTCTGTGAAATGGTGGGTTCCAAGGATAAGCAGGCCCGAGTCTAGTGCAATGTACCCTCTAAGCTGCGGAGTCTTGTGAGCCAAAATTCTACTTTGTGAGCTGCTGGCATTAAATTTGTGAGCGAGCGATTTGGCTACTGCATAAATTAGTTTGTTCTGGAGCCATCCTTCCTGAGCAAAGACAAAAATGTGTGAGCTGATGGCTAAAAAACTGTGAGCTAGCTCACACTAACTCAGCTTGGAGGGAACACTGGTCTAGTGATCAGTTCAACTTTATTCGTGATTTCAGCAAGAGCGAGACAAGACCCCAGAGCCTCAGCTCTGTTAAATAGCCTGCAATTGCCACACCCAAACACACCCCACTCCCAATGATAGGCTATTTATTACTTGATTGGTTAATTCCAGAGTCCTGGTAGGCTATTGTTCTTGTGCTCCATGCTCAGCCAGTCTCTGATGTGATCAGGGGTCATTTCGTAGAAAAAGAGCTGCAGGAGCTCATTAGCATACCTAATAGGCTATGAGCCTAATAGCCTGTTAGCATATGCCACACCCCCTGACATCACCAGAAGTGATGTCTGAAGGGGAAGCAAAAGGGGGGAGGCATCTTCAAAAGCCTCCCCTTACCTTCCCCAGACTGGTGGGGGGGATCGAAGAGAGAAGGGGTTTAAACTTTAAACCCCTTCTCTCTTCACTCCCCCCACCCCCACCCCACCTTGGCAGGCCGGCTGGGGAAGGGACGGGGAGGGGAGGCTTTTAAAGATGCCTCCCCCCTTTTTTGCTTCCCCAGTTGGCCTGCCAAGGTGGGGTGGGGGGGGAGGTGAAGAAAGAAGGGGTTTAAAGTTTAAACCTCTTCCCTCTGGAGTCGCACCGCAGAGAGAATATAATATTATAGGATATAATGGGAAGAAGAGAAAGGGTTTAAACTTTAAGCCCCTTCTCTCTGGAGTTGCACTGCAGGGGCCCCATAGAATATATTGGGACTTTAAACCCCTTCTATCTGGAGTCGCACCGCAGCGGTGGCGCGATCTTCCCATTTTATTCTATGGTGCCATAGCATATAATGGGAGATTGCACTGCTACTGCGGCACGCAGGGCGGGGAGCTTGGGGCGGGGCTTGTGCTCCAGCCCCAAATAACCCCTGGATGTGACATACCTGGAATGGTTCACTCCCAATACATAACAGTCTCCCAGATAAGTTGTGTTCAATGGCTGCCTGGTATGAACTGAGAGGACACCCGCCGGGACGAGTTATCAGCTCACAAGGGTTGCCTACTGTGGGGGAGCTGGGTGTTGGTGCCCGCTCCTTTACGCCAGCAAGTGCTATCAGCTCTGCACGAGATGCATCCCAGAATTGTGCGGATGAAAGCGCTGGCCGACAGTTACGTGTGGTGGCCAGGCATGGACAGTGAAATAGAGGCCTGTGTCAAGCGCTGCCAGAGGAGAACCGGGAAATTACAGGCCAGTCAGTCTGACGTCGATACTGGGTAAATTGGTGGAAACCATTATTAAGGAAAGAATTAGTAGGCACATAGATGAACAAAACCTATTGAGGCAGACTTCTGTAAGGGAAGATCTTGTCTCACTAACCTGTTAGTGTTCTTTGAGGGGGTGAACAAACATGTGGACAAGGGGGATCCAATAGATATTATTTACCTTGACTTCCAGAAAGCTTTTGATAAAGTTCCTCATCAAAGGCTCCTAAGTAAGCTCAAAAATCATGGGATAGAAAGACAAGTCCTTTTATGGATCAAAAACTGGCTAATTAATAGAAAACAGAGAGTGAGTATAAATGGACAATCTTCTCAGTGGAGGGTGGTAAGCAGTGGGGTACCGCAGGGATCAGTACTTGGTCCACTGCTTTTTAACTTGTTCATTAAAATTTGGAGTTGGGAGTAAGCAGTGAAGTGGCTAAATTTGCGGATGATACGAAGTTGTTCAGGGTGGTGAAAACCAGTGAGGATTGTGAGGCACTCCAAAGGGATCTGTCAAGGATGGGTGAGTGGGCGTCAACATGGCAGATGGGGTTCAATGTGGCCAAATGCAAGGTGATGCACATTGGAGCCAAAAATCCTAAATATAAATACACATTGATGGGGTCTGAACTGGCAGAGACTGAGCAAGAGAGAGATCTTGGAGTTGTAGTGGATAACTCACTGAAAATGTCGAGACAGTGTGTGACTGCAATAAAGAAGGCCAATGCTATGCTGGGGATTATTAGGAAGGGTATTGAAAACAGATCAGCCAATATAATAATGCCCCTATATAAATCAATGGTGAGACCTCATTTGGAATACTGTGTGCAGTTCTGGGCACCACACCTTAAAAAGGATATTATAGCTTTGGAAAAAGTGCAGAAAAGGGCAACTCGAATGATAAAAGGGTTGGAACACTTTCCCTATGAGGAAAGGTTAAAGCGCTTAGGGCTCTTTAGCTTGGAGAAAAGACGACTGAGGGGTGACATGATCGAGGTTTATAAGATTATGCATGGGAAAGAGCAGGTAAAGAAAGAGGTACTTTTCTCCCTTTCTCACAATACAAGAACCCGTGGGCACTCCATGAAATTGCTGAGCGGTCGGGTTAGAACGGATAAAAGGAAGTACTTCTTCACCCAAAGAGTGATTAACACATGGAATTCACTGCCACAGGAAGTGGTGGCGGCTACAAGCATGGACGGCTTCAAAAGGGAATTAGATAAGCATATGGAGCAGAGGTCCATCAGTGGCTATTAGCCACAAGGTATAGCTAGGGGCTCTGGGGCAAGTGATGCTCTGTCTTCTTGGTGCTTGGGGGGGGGGTCAACAGTGGGAGGGCTTCTAATGTCCTGGCCCCACTGGTGGACCTCCTGATGGCACTGGTATTTCTGGCCACTATGTGACACAGAGTGTTGGACGGGATGGGCCTTTGGCCTGATCCAACACTGGCGTCTCTTATGTTCTTATGTCTGTCAAGAAACCCAACTGGAAGCTCCCAGGGCACCAGTGCAGCAGTGGGCATCCACCCACAAACCTCGGTCCCGGCTACACCTGGACTTTGCTGGCCCTTTCCAATGGCAAATACTCTTCATTTTGGTATGGTTGGAAGTGGTGCCAGTCACCTCCACCTCCACCAAGGCAGCAATCTGGGCCCTCCGACAGATTTTCAGCACACACACGGCCTACCCGACACAGTTGTGGCGGACAATAGAACAGCCTTCACTTTGAGGGAGTTCCAGGAATTCATGGGCCACTACCACATCAGGTACATCCGCTCCACTCCCTTTCACCTGGCCACCAATGGGCAGGTGGGAGACGTTGGTGCAAACCACGAAGGAGTCCCTCTGGCGGATCGTCCACGGAGACTGGGACCATAAACTCACGGCTTCCCTTTTTGGCCACTGAGTGACCTCAAGCAACACCAGTGGCCGCAGCCCTGCGGAACTCCTCATAGGCAGATGCCTAACCACCTGACTGGACAGGCTGCACCCCGATCGAGCCCCGGAGCACCACCCATCTCCAGAGAGCCAAGAGGCGCCCAGAGGATTTTCCCCTGGTGACTCCGTCTACATGAGGAACTTTTCCAGCGGTCCTGCCAGGATTCCTGCCAAGGTCATCTGAGTTACTGGACCCCTGTCCTATGAGGTGTCTACCGACGACGGTCAGGTCCTTCATAGGCACATAGACCAGCTCCGCCACCGTCTCCTCCCCACTGAACCAGAGTTGCCATCAGTGGTCTTGGAAGACTGCAACATGGAGTTGACATGGCCACAGGAACCAGAGCCCGTGAGGGAGCTTCCAGAGGGCAGCAAGCAGTCAAATGGACCAGCGGGCACAGCACCTGAACAAACGGCCACGGACTGCCCAGACGTCCTGCCAACACTGCTACCGTCTCCCAGCACCACGTCAGCAACATCAGACCCAAGTCCAGAGACCCCTCTGATAGAACCGCGACGTTCAACCCGTGAATGATGCAAACCAGCCTACTTAAGAGACTTTGTTAAGGAGCTTTTGAACTTAGGAGGGAGGGGTGTTATGCACTAAGCCTAAAGCCATTCCTCGAGCTGTACCTAGAAAGGGTTGAGTTTACTTCTCTAGAACAATAGTTCGCCTGGATCCAGGAACTAACCAATAGTGGTGTAATGTAAATAGCCTATCACTGGGAGTGTGTGTGTGTTGGATATGGTGTTTGCAGGCTTTATAGCTTGTCTTGTAGTTTGCTGAAATCTCTGAATAAACCAGAGCTGATCACTGCAATGCGTCCAGTACCCAGTATTTAACAGGGTTCTTACAGTGTATCCCTGAGCAGAGTTGCTTCAGTCTGCATACACTGAATTTAGTGTGTTTAGACTGGAGTAACTCTGCATAAGGTTGCACAGGTCCAGAAGAGTCCCACGCTGATTTACCTGAAAGTAAACTAAGTCCAGCAGGTTTTGTTCTCAGGTACATGTGCACAGAATTGCAGTCTGCAGCTTTTTATTAATCAAGCTTATTACTATTAAGCACAGAAAAGAAATCCAGCAGAACCCTAACTGGGTGGTATGACCTAGTGGTGGGTGGGCCAGGTCTGGATAGGGGTGCTGGAAGCCACACCATTTTCCCCTTAAGAGAATCAAGTATGGCAACAGATGAGCCTATTGAACCAAGGCAAGAGATTCTTCTTAAGCTCATTTAGATGTTATCTGTCAAGAAACAGATTATTGTGCATGAGTGTTCATTTGCCCCATTCTCATGTTACAGTGAACTCAGGGGGGGGGGGAATTGCTCTTTGCAAAGATCAAGGATGGGGACTGATATATACTGGGTTCAGACACGTAGAGTGATTAGCTCATGATTATTAAGTGGTTTCAGCTCCAAAACTAAGACAAACTTGCAGGGTCAGAGCCCTGCTTATATTCATGGAACACCTCACACCCAACACCCACACCCCACATCCCATGATAGGCTATTTACAGAGTATTGTTTACCAATTGGTTACTACTAGGATCCGGATCAATCTATTGTTTCATTCTAGGATCCAAGCCTTCTACTGTGATGTGCTCCAAGCTACGCTATTTCGCATGTTCGCTAGTGAGCCCTTTCGCAAGTACGGTTCCATCGCGATACATAAGAGGGACGGAGTCAGAGCTGGTTTGCTCTGTCTCCACCCACCATGTGGTTCTGGCTTTGCCCTGTTTGCTGCCCTGCCCCCTCTCCTGCCCACCCGCACTGGGTACTAGCTGCCACTGGCTTCATATATATATAAAAAAGGAAATTATAGCATAAGACTTGAAGGCCACACAGAGCACGTTTGGGTAAACTCGGCACACAAACTCTGGCTGTAGCTGGGAGGTGAACTGAATTGTGTTCTCACTGAGAAATGGCCTTGATCCCACTACTGTTGGACATGATCCTGTTTCTGCCAGAACCCACAGCCAACAACGTAGTACACGCTTACCAGGAAAGGTAATACTTTATTGAAGAGCTATAGATGCATTAACATAGGCACTGTTAAGAATGGCGGCTGCCCCTGGGGCATAAAAGGATATAGGGTATTCGTATGCACCCCCCCACTGCCCTGGCCAATTAGGCACCCTCCCACATGCGGGAGAAAGAGCTTCGGCCGTTTAGCGCTGAAGCTGGGAACCAAACTCTCTCCCACGGTTCCCGAGAAACCCAGACATCAACAGAACTTGTAGATAAGCGTTACAGCAGCAAAGAAGCACAGAAGGAATGCACTGGCAATTAGAAGACAACCGACCTCCCCACCCCCATTGCAGCATAGCTGACAGTTTCCCCTGGTGTTTTACTACTAAATGCAACAAGGAGATAACTAGGTTTGCCAGCTGGGTCCTCTCTGTGGAATCTGGCGGGCAAAAGATGTGCATGCGTGCTTCAACGGTACCCTTTTGTCTTTTTCAGCCTTCCCAGGAAACAGTGAAAGAGATTATCCAGTACTCCAAGGACACCCTAGAGAAGATTGATAAAGCTCGGTCAGAGGGGGTTTACCATGAAGTAAGTCAAAGGCCTTCTTCTGAAAGTTTGAGATGGGCCAGGACTAAGGGTTCTCGTCTCATCTCTCAATCGTGTCATTTTATGTGGTGTGTGTGTGTGTGGCATATGGAAGCCGTGTTGGCTCCACCCTCCACTCGGTCCCCTGAAGCTCCCTGCTGACTGAGGACAGCAATAAAGAGAAATGGACGACTCTGCCTCAGGTGGCAGATTTTGGTCACCATTAAATACCATTATAAGAAGATATTATTATATTCACAGCTGGAGGCAATGTTTGAACTTTTAGCCTCAAGGTGCCAGAGAGATTGGGTATACTCCCCCTCCCCCCATCCCCTGGAAACTCCAGCAGTAGGGTTGTCAGGTCTGGGTTGGAAAACATCTGGAGATTTTGGGTGATGGAGCCTGGCGAGGAGGGACCTCAGTGGGTATAGTGCCACAGAGTCCATCCTCCTAAGGAGTCATTTCCTCCAGAGGATCTGATCTGGGTCATCTGAAAATCTGTTGTAATAGTGGGAGAGCTCCAGGTACCACCTGGAGGTTGGCAACCCTAAGCAGGGCTGTGGTCATGACCCACTCGCAGCAGGGAGCCAGGTCAACGCCATTTCCCACAGAGCCTTCTGGGCTACAAATTAGGTCTGCAAGATGTAATGGGTTAATCACCAAGTAATTAATTATATCTTCAGAGTAATTGTTTTTATGCTTATGCCAAGTAATGCAAATGTTATTGGTTAAGCAGATGTTATTGCTTATCAACTAAATATCATAATTGACTAAAATGTCATCAATCAGGTGGCACCCCCTAAAGTCCAACAAAGTTTTATCCAAGGTATGAGCTTTTGTGTGCCTTGCTGCAGTGTGTGTGTTTTGTTGGGCTTGTTAGGCTGTGGCTCTCCTGGGTGCAACTGGGTTCCCTCCCCCTTTCCACTGTATTCATGCCCTCATAATCCAGTCTTTCTCAGTAGGAAAGCCATGTGAACCATTTAGATGAGGAATAACAACAAGCCAGTGAGGTGGGTTAGTGTGTGTCCAGACCAAGTTCACCCAGCACATTGCCTTTGGGGATTTTGAACTTAGGCTTCCCAGATAGTAGGCTGATACTGACCACTGAGGTAGACTAAATTTGTAGACAAACAAATAGCCCTCAGTCTCTGTCATGGTGTCTTCGCATGTTCTTGACATGAAGCAACTTACGTAGAAAAGCTCGCAATGCCCAGTCCTGGGTCCTAGGCTCAGAACTCTGAGCATGAGATTTCTGTAGTGAATGTCAGTGAATCTAAAGTAGGTTTGCAGCTTACAGATATACACTTGAACAGCATACTCAAGATGGCTACAGCACAGATATTTTGATGCAGTAATTCACATGCATCACTGGCTGTCATCTTGTTTGCATATAATACAATGTGCCGTCAAAGTCATCTGCAGCCGCACTTGAAAAGAGCAGGCACCGTGCATGGCTGCCCTGCAAGCCATGAATTCACGGTGCCCATATGTAGACTCTTTTCAGAGCAGGCCCTGCAAGTGGCGAACACTGCGTGACACCATTGTGTCGGGGATGGCCCTTCCCCCCAGCATGCCCCCCAAATCCCCCCACCAGGGAGAAATTGGGACCTGGCAAACCTACCTTTAGGCCATTCCTCCCCCCAGGCTTTGGGGCATGGCCTGGGCACTGGCTGTGGGGGCTCTGAATCAGATCCCCCCCCAATGCGAATAGGAGGGTGTGGGCGAGGCAGGTGGGGGCTCTGGGTGTGCAGTACTCCTTTCCCCATGACATTTTCTCAATCACAAACGGCCTCCCTGGGAAGAGAAAAGCACAGGTGCAGTACACATACCTGTATTCTTTTCCCTCCTGAGGTTCAAGCAGCTCTTCCCCAAAGTCATGGCCTTAACTCCATAGAGGAGCCTCCTATGGCCATGCCCCTCCCCCGACAGCAGTATTACCTGTCAAGAATATGTGGTTTGTACCTTACACAGCCCTGGGGGCTCAACAAAGACTTGAGACAGATGGAGCGCTTATTTATCAGAGAAGACCCTGAAGACTCAGCCTGCCTCCATGTCCACGGGAGAAGGATTGTCTTTCTGGACACCAGATGACGGGCATATCAAAGGTACTGATGGCTTCACTTACCTGTAGGCCTCTGGGTCTCATCCAAAACACACCGCATAGTGTTTGTATATAGCTATGGCTGAACCCTGAGACACAGCTGCATCTCCACGAGCCCTGCAGAGAAGGACACACTCCTGCAAGAGTCCCAGGCACACTCCTAAAACTACGTCAGTCACCTGGAGAAGTGAAGAGACGGACAGATGGGCATGCAGAAGTCACCATCCACCAGGCAGGGGAAACAAGCAGGATGCTGCTTGTTGCGTATAGCTCCCAGCTTGTTTTTCCATCCGCCCCCCCCCCCAAGCGAATCTAAACAAAAATCTTGATTAGGCCTTTAAGGCCCCAAGTCAAGTGTCCCTTATCTTCCTCTTCACCACACCCTCTGTCTCTCCCTGGCAAGGCCTAATGAGCCAGGACACAATCCACTCCACAGATCATCATAGACAACAACTCCCATCCCCCCTGCTCTTTACCAGACTGCACAGCAAAGGCATTCCAGAGCAGCACATGCACCACAGCAGCAGGAGGAGGAGAAGGAGAGGAAGAAGAGGAGGAGGAGGAGGAAGAGGAGTGTCCCAGTTTCCTGGTCCTGGAGCAAGACCGACACACACCCCTGAACTCCCCAAAGCCACCCCGCCTACCCGGGAGAGCACGTCAACAGCCGTGAGGCCCCCGAAGAGGGATCTATCTGGCGTCTGGAGCCACGGCAAAGAGCAAGGAGCTGGCGAGTGCGGCCTCAAGGGGAAGAGACGGCAGAGCACAGGAAAAGGTCTGCAGCTTCAACAGGCCTGCAGCTTGGCTTCCGGTATTGGCACTTGCCATGGCGGTCGCTCTACTGGACCTCCAGGAGATGATCGCCAGAACCCGTGGCTAGGAGGGGGTGTGATTGTCCGCACTCCCCACGGAATCCTTGCAAAGGGTTCCAAGCCATGGGGCGCTAGACAGCATTTCCTCCGGCAACAAAGCTGGTGGGGGGGGGGCATCCATGCCCCGATGGTCCTACTATGGAGTTTCCAGATGGAACTAGAAGCACCGGGTGATCTAGCGGTCTTGCAACTTAAGCGACTGGAAATCGTATAGCCATTGAACTGTGAGTTAAGGTGAAGTGAGAACATCGAAAGGAGCCAAAAGCCGCCCCGCAGGAAGCAAGGGGGGGGGAGAGGACTCCCGTCGGATAAGACAAACTGAAAGCGAACCCAATCGTAAAAGCAGGGGGGGGGGAGGCTTTTAAAGCGAAACAGACTGAATTAAAAGATTTCTAAGAACTTACCAAGCGCAATTGAGAACTTCAGGGACTGATAACTTTTGATAAAAAGTAAACAATTCCTCAAAAATGGCGCCTTCCGTGAAGAAAGATGAGAAGGAGAAGATAACGAAAGCTAAGCTCACCAGAAGTGCCAGCCCAGCGAGTGTTGTGCCCAGACAGGACACAAATGCAGACCTTCAAAGGATACTAAGTGAGGCACTGCGCCCTCTACTGGAACAAGTGACAAATAAATAGAAAGCTGGATACACAGCAAGCTCAAATCAACGAGACTGTCAAAAATATCGATCAAACGGGCTTGCAACTTTAAAAAGTAGACACCAACACCAAAAAGCTGCGAAAACAAATGCAGACAATGGAGAAGAAACGACAAATAGTCGAGTCTCAACTGTTACAGCCACAAATGGAAAAGGCAACCTATGTCCTAAGATTCCAGGGAATTCCTGAGGTAAAAGGGGAAAATTTCACTAAGTTAATGTGTGAAGCATTGGAGCAAATGGCAGAAATTGAAGTGGATACTTTACAAAATGACATTGATATGGTCTATAGATCATATACAGAATTCATAAGGAATAATAATCTACCAGGAGAAGTGATTGTGAGATTCTCCAGAAGAAATATCAGAGATAAAATTCTTAAAGCAGCCAATGGAGCTACCCTGAAAATCAAGGGCAAAGAGATTAAGGTGCTAAAGGACATACCATTTGAAATAAGGAAGAAAAGGCGCAAATATAAAGACTTGGTTGCATTCCTACAAAAGAAACAAGTTGTCTACAGATGGATTATTCCCGAAGGGGTCATCTTTAAGTATGCAAATGGAAAAGAAAAAATTGACACTCTGGAAAAAGCAAGTGAATTCCTGCGCCTGCATAGCTGTCCAACAGATGAGAAAGAAGAAGAAGATAAAGCCAGTCCTGAGAAGGAAGATGGAGATGGAGTAGAGCCATCTTCTGGTGAAGAATCAGACTCAAATTTGGTGGCTGCAGCCCCAAAAAGAGGCTATAGATTGAGGAAGCCAAAAGATAAAAATGATTTGTTATTATAACCCTAAAGTTTAAAGAATATTTAAAATAAGATTTCCTAGATTCTTTAAGAAGTCATAGTAGACGATGTTTAAGTTGGAGCAGAAGTTTGAAAGATGATGAACATGTTCAATGAATTTATATGAATATTTAGCTATACAAGCTTGTAATCTTGTTAAAGCAATTTGTATGACACCCACTCTTGGGTTTTTAGAGGTTTCTTTACTTTATCTTATAGTGTGTAGTCCCTTTCCTATTCTTTCATGTAGTGTTTAGTTTTAGAAAATGCAATTAAAAAATCCCCTTCGGGGGGCCAAAAAACCCCAAAACAGGCCCGCAGCTCAGCGTTGCATCCGACAGGAAAGCCCCACCCCAGACGCCGGGAGAGTGTCCTATGATATGAAGGGGGGTAGGGCCGGAGCAAAGGGAATGCGCACGGGGAGAAGGGGCAGTGCTGGGAGTGGGGAGAGTGATAAAAGGGAAGTGGAGGCGAGGGTCGAGGAGGATGCTGCTGTGCAACTGAGACTGGGAAACAGAAAGTGGAGAGCAGAATGAGAGAGAGGGAAACCACTGCTGTCCCAAAGCTCCTGAGAGGGCTGAGAGCCCAAGCTGC